TCTGTCTTTCTCTCTCGGGTGTCAACATGCCATAGTGTAAATGTCAGGGTCAGAAAACAACCAATACAAGTTGTATTTCTCCTTCTGACATGTGGGTCCTGGAGATAAGACTAAGGCTTGGCAGAAGAAACCTTATCAGCTGAGCCATCCCATTGTACTGGTTCTTGCCTTCTGTAAAGAAGAATTCCACAGAAAGTTACAGTATAAGCAAAATTATAGTTAGCAAAGCTAATCTCAGCAGAAAGTGCACTCAAGAGACTGTGGTGAACTATGCAGAAAGGTCTAAATTTTGGTAGGTGTCTTAGGGATAGTATTCCTGTGATCAAACACCATGACTAAATCATGCTGAAGAGGAAGGGTATATTTGGTGTATGCTTCCACATCACTGGTGATCATCAAAGCAAGTCAGGACAGGAACTCAACAGGGTAGGAGCCTCAAGGCAGGGGCAGATGCAGAGGGCATGAAGGAGTGCTGATTACCGGCTTGCTCCCCCTTTCAGCCAGTTTTCTTATAGAATCCAGGATTTATCCCAGGGATGTTGCTACCCACAACGGGCAGGGCACTGCCCCGTCAACTTCAATCATGGTTAAGAAAATTCGAGTTCCAGGACAGGCTCAAAAGCTAAAGAGACATCCTGTCTTGAAAAACAAAACAAAACAAATGGTCTACAGGCTCCCCTACAACACAGTCTTATGGAGCTATTTTCTTAAGTGAGGCTCTGTTCTGTCCTTTCAGATGAAGTGAGCTCATGTCGAATTTACATAAAACTACACAGCACAGTAGGTGCCCACTATTTCACGATCCATGTAAATCCAATTTTCTCTGTCTTAGACAGAGACTCCCTCTATGTGGCACAAGGATCACCCTCTCACACGAATCTGAGCCTTTTTCTCTCTCTGTTTTAAAGATTTTATTTATTTATTATGTATACAGTCTTCTGCCCACACTCCAGCAGAGAGCACCAGATCTCATTCAAGGTGGTTGTGAGCCACCATGTGGTTGCCAGGAATTGAACTCAGGACCTCTAGAAAAACGGTCAGTGCTCTTAACCGCTGAGCCATCTCTCTGGCCTCTGAGCCTTTTTCTTACTCACCCAGAAAGAAATAGGAGTGGAAGAGAGAAAAGATCTGCCAAAATCCTAACAACTCCTACAATGCTCTATTCATTATTCCCACTTTAGAATATGGAAAATCATTTACCTTGCATTTTTTCTTAGTCTGCATTCTGTCTTAGTCATATGCCACAATAATGAGACAACAGCAAGTTTTTTAGTCAGATACACAATTACAAATAATTATGCAACATCTTTTGAAAAATGTGACCGTCATTGTCATAGTCTTCATTTCATTTCAAAAAGACAACACAAAGCAAGCAAACATAAAGTAGGATCACGGTTTTGTCTGTAATTCTTGTCACTAATAAAATAATATTAGCAGTGGTTTAGAGCTACAGTCTGTCCACAACAGACTCTGTAGGCCCGTGATTTTTTAAATATGTTATATTAATTTTTATGTGTCAGTATAATATCATGTTTAGCAAAATATCATTCTATTAAGTTGTATTTTTGTTTTGTTCCTGAATTATGTAATTTAATGGCATTTCACACAAAGCCTGATTTATTTCTAAGAAGGACATGGTATTTCTTCATAAAAGGTATAACAGTTTAATGCCCTGAAAGCTGATATTTTATATAATAATTCTTTAGTTCAAAGGAAATAAAAGCCCTAAAAGTGAAAGTAGAACATCCATCAAACCAACCCGAACAAGGTAAAATAATATTTCATGAAAGTAACATTTGATATTGTAAACAACAGACAGAAGCCAAAGCAAAATTAATCCAGGACAAACTACAATCTTAGGCCTGAGGCTGTCTTAAGATTGTCATTTTAAACTTCTAAATATATTCTAACATCTTATTAGACTAGTAAAATATAAGAAAGTCAGTTAAATTATGTAATTATGTTGCCTGTTATTTACAGGTTAACTTTTTCTGTTTTGTCAATCTGATTTTCACTGGTTAATATCAGAAATATTTGTCTTAGTAAAAAATACAGCTTATTAATTGAGAGAGAGAACAAAATGAAATGCACAGTAATCTTATATATGAGTAAAGAACCAAGGAAGCCCTTCAACAGTAATCACATGGGTATTTTGCTTCATAAGTTTTACTGAATGCTATGAAAATGGGGAAGACACCTTCCCAGGCCACGCATGCCAAGCAGATTATGTGACAGTCATGTCAAATTTGACAGGAAACTTTGGTGTAGACAGTAGCAGTACACAATTTTGTTAAAAAAAAGTTCCTGTGTTATATATGTGCCTTTGTGTTCCAAATAGCCTTTCAGCAACACCTCCATGAACAACCACGGCTATGTCTCAATAAAGCTTTCCATACAACTACCGAATAAAAGCTGAATGTAGCCTCAAAGAGAATTAGTCCAACCCAGAGTGGAGTGAATATCTACCACCGTTCTCTCTTATGCATAAAGACCATTCTGAATCTCTCTGTTTTTACCTTATAATGAACCCCAGTTCTGATACCTCCGATTTTTAATTTCCCATCAAGCCCTACCCTTACTTTGAATCTCGAGATTGGTATATTGAGAGTCTTATTTTCTTCTTCATAACCAGAGTTTTAAGAGAAGTCATCTTTGATCATTTGCCAAACTATTTGTGGTTTTAAGAGAATGAAAATGTCAGGACAATAATGTGTTTTATTCAAAAGCAAAACAGTTCTTTTTGCAGGTGATTGTAATTTTTGGGATGCATTTGATTTTCTTCCTAACTTGGTTTAGGGAAGAAACAGATAATGTCACCTAAGATATTTTTGATTTGACATTAGAGGTGTTTTGATATTTGTAATTAATATATGTATATTCAAGAGTAGCTGCAAGTATTACACATTGGTTGGTAGTTTCTTTGCATAACAGATAAGCCTTAAATGATCTTGCCAGTGGACTACATCAGGAAATGTACATGGGGAATGTACTTCTGTGTATGTTCATCTTATTGATTGTTGAATAAAGTACTGTTTGGCCAATGAGGCAGCAAGTTAGATGGGACTAGGTGTCAAGGAGGATTCTGGGAAATGTAGTAAAGAAGTGTTTTGATCCAGGCAGGAAGTGACATAGCAGGGAGACTCATATTTAAGCAAGGACAAGCAGGAAGTGGCCTTTTCCCCCTTCGCTCTTCCCTGCTCAGAGCCACTATGTGATCCCAGGAAGAGGATGCCAACAGAAGGCATCGATAAAATAAGTCTTATAAAATATAGATTTAGGATAATTAAGACTGAGCTATCAGAAGAAAAATCCTAGTCATTGGCCAAGCAGCATTTGTACCCAAGTCTCTGTATTATTTTGTCCATCCACGTGATGGGCAAAACTCAAGTGGGCTGCGGAAAGATTTATCATAACAGGTAACAAATAGCATTCTTATTTTACACTTTGTCTTTGCATTGTTACATGTATCTATCCTTATCCCTGAATCCAAACAACAAAAAATCATTTCTTAATAATCAATAATTTAAAAAAAATTGGAAACAGATTCTTCTGTTATACCACAGGTCCTGACCACAGTTTTCCTCCCTCCATGCTTCCCTCTGTTACCTTCCCCATGGCTTCAGAAAAGAGCAAGCCTACAAGAGACAACTACCAAACATGATAAAACAAAATACATTGAGACGAGGCAAAAATTCCTCACACCAAGGGCGGACAAGGCAACCCAGCGGGAGGTAAAGAGTGGCAAGAGCAGGCAAAAGTCATAGTCATACCCTCTCCCACAGTTAGGAGTCCCACCAAAACACTATACAGTCACAACATATACAGGGAGGACTTGGCAAACTCATGCAAGCCCTGTGCTTGCTGCTTCACTTTCTGTGAGCCCGGATGCATCCTGCTTAGTTGATACAGTTGACTGTGTTTTCCTGGTGTTCTCCATCTCCTCTAACTCCTATAATTCTTCTGCCACCCTATTCTGCATGACTCCTGGAGACCTCCAAGTTAGACTCTTTCTCTCTCCACATAATGTCTGGCTGTGGGTCTGTGTATTTCTTCCCATCTGCTGTGGGTGAACCCTCTCTGATGATAACTGTACAAGGTGCCAAAATATGAGTATAGCAAAATATCATTAGGAATCATTACATTGGTTTGTTTTCTGTTTTTTAGAACAGTAATATTTGACTCTATCTTAGGTCTCTGGACTATCCAATGACTGGTTCTTGGCCATCCAGGCAGTGCCAGGTATGTTCTTCATCTCCTAAAGTGGGTCTCAAGTTAAATCACACATGGTTTGGCCACTCCTCCATATGCTCTATGACATCGTTGCCCCAGCGTGTCCCGCAGGCAAGGCAGATTGTAGGTCAATGGTTCCGTGGTTGTGTTGGTGTCCGTGTTTCTCTTTTGGTCGCCCACTGGGTACCTTCCCACACCAAAGAGACTAGAACATTGCCTAAATGCTCTATACAGAGAGCAGCTCAACCTTTCCATTTTCGATGAGGCTGTGTGCATGACTGCACTATGAGTTTTCAGAGATCAAACATCTATCCTAGTATCAGCCTAGGTTGTTTGAGAATCTTCATGGGACCCTCCCATCAGAAAACAGCTCAACTGTTGTACCAGTGGGTGCCTTGCTTGGCTACAATTGATGGCCCGTTCAGATTCCATAGCCCCCATTACTAGGAGACCTCATTAGAGTCACCCTAATAAATCCAAGAAAGATTTGACTGCCCTAGCTTTCTACATCACTTCCAGATTACCCCATCTCTAGCCATCTCCCTCCATCTGATCCTTCTCCCATGCCCACTAGCCTCCAGTCCACCCTATCTACCTACAAATTCTATTATATTTCTGTTTCCCAGGGATATCCACGCATTTCCCATAGAACTCTCCCCTCTACCTAACCTCTCTGTGTCTACATATTGTAGCTTGGTTATCATTTACTTAACAGCTAATGCCCACATATAAGTGAATACATACCACTCACCAGACACGTATAAAGAATCTACAGCATGCAGTCTTCAAGTTGATATCAGACACTAAATGATTTTTTACTATTACTGACATCTTGAGTTATTGTTTGTAAAAATCAGAAAAAATATATACTCCTGTGAAAAGTAAATGTATTTTTGTACATAAGGAAATATTCTAATTTCATTATCTTAAAGTACATGATAAGCTAATGCTGAATCCTGTGAGAACGAGATGCTCTTTTGGAAACTCCCAGGGAGTTTTATTGATGTTGAAAACTTTGCACTATTTTCCAAAGTTATTTACCGAGTTATATGACTCGGAATCTCTTTTCCTCATCTCCTTGTTTCCCCAGAGAAACATATTCTTGCTTCATATTTTTATTCTCTATCTTAGGGCCTCTTTTGATTCAATTTCTTTGCTTTGAGCACAGGAAAAAAATTTAGCTAGAATTATATGTTTCTAAATAGTGTCATGCACAGTTTGTCAGATGCTTATAAAACTTTTTATCTTCTCTTTCACCAGAGTACAGCTAATTCCTATTCTTCACAGTAGTTATTTTCTATAATGTCTCTGTAATTAGCCAGTATTGAACAATTGCTCCTAGGGAAATATAGCAGCCTGTGGTCTGCTTTTGTTAACTACTGAGCATATGCATTGGTTTTGTGCATTTTTGTGTGTGTGTGTGTGTAGTGTCCCTATCTCTCTATAGAGGTATTTATTGACATTGAAGTCAAGGTCACAATGCTAACTGCTTCCCTTATGGGCTTACCTAACCCAGGTGGTTTTATAACAGTATGTATCACAAGTTTCCTTTGTAAAAGACTTGCTAGTATTGTTCTTTATGGACCATTTGGCCATCAAAAATTGATAACAAATATAAACCCACACACAAAACAAGCAAAATAAGAGCAAAAAACCAAAGCCTAGGACATTAAGTAAACACAAGAAGATACTTGTTCACAGTGTGAGTACTTAGATGAGAAGTCACAGTGCACTCTTCTGTACTCTCAAGGTTACTAAAGAGATTTGTCACTTTGTACATGGCAAGAAGACAGTTATATCATTGTGGCTGTTGCTCTTTAAGCTAAAAATGCATTTTGTGAGTATTTGTAGACATAGATAGATGGAATAATGATGATCAAATGTATTTATTTTTTAAAGTTACTTTTTTCTACCAGTTTAAATTATAATAATGGTTATAAGAAATTAATATTTTTCTTTATATGATTTGTTCTTAATTTGACAAACTACTCATATTCAGAAATTAAACAAATGCATTCGTGAATTGTCTTACTTATTCCTGACTAAGTGATGTAAATCTTTGCAAAAAATATGAATGATGATTGTATTATTTTAAATATTATTTAAAATTATGTACCATATAAATAATTAATAATTTCTACTATGATTGAGTTTTCTTCACACACTGAAATTCTATATTAAAATTTAAATTAATTTGAAGAGAAAAATATATACTGTGTTATTTTTTGACCAAGGAAATTTTAAGATATATATACAGTTAAATACTAAACAACATAATATTTTGGGCCATTTTCAAATCATATCTCTGTCTTGGTAAATCCAAATAACCAAGAAGAAGGTGATTATGATTCTTTGATCTAAATTCTTATATATGACACAAATATACAGTTGTAAATGCTGGACACTTGGTGCCTACTAGGCATGAATCATGATTTGACTCATGAATGCAAACCCTCAAAACTAACAAGAATACATATTTTCTAATCTACCTCCTTTCCAGCCTTTAGAATCTTGATTCTCAACCTGTGAGTTATGACCCATTTGGGGGTTGAACAACTCTTTCTAGAAGTTGCCCAAGACTATGGGAAAAACAGATATTTACATTATGATTCTTAAGAGTAGCAAAATTACAGTTATAAAATAGCCATGAAAATAATTTTATGTTGGAGGAGGCACCACAACATGAGGAACTGTGTTAATGGTGTCAGCATTAGAAAGCTTGAGAACCACTGCTTTATGATAATAGAAGGGACTAATGATTTGTCTGAGAGGGTAAAGAAACTCAGATCTATGCCTGAAACCATGTGTTTGATTCTGTGCAGTCACATGATAGAAACATGGAGTTTTCTGTCTTCCAATGCACCCTGTGACACACACACACACACACACACACACACACACACACACACACACGCGCGCGCA